TTTCTGTTCTATTTGAGAAATAAACACATTTTAATTCTCACAAGTGTTTATGTATGTTGAAATTACATAACTTCTGCAACTATTGAAGACTATTGGTTTTTACTATAAAAATTCAAAGCTTTGCCTCTTTCTCAATTTAGTTCATGAATTTAAATTTTTCCAAAAGAGAAGTATCACTTGGTTTCAGCTAAGGTCTTTAAAACAAAGGGAATACCATCAAGCAAACTTTTACTGAAGCAGGTGTTGCTTTAATAGGGAAAGTTTGGTTTGTTATAGCCTCATCTGTCTTCAGCTGGTAAGGAAGTCTCAATTAACTGTATTGTACTTCGTTTTAAAGCATGAGCTTAAGTGCGAACCTCAGATTTTAAAAATCAAACTTGCTAGATGACTTGAGGGAAGAGTCTTTATCTTGGTGGATAATTCTAACTGAAAATATTTCATGCAAATATCTTGCTCTCTGAGGCTGGAAATTAGCCTTGACTTACTTTTGATTTTAGGGAACACTTAGAGGTTTGATAAACTTTACATGATGCCTACTCTGTCTTATTTTTTTTTTTTAAGTTTTAAATCTCTTTATAGTCAGAACATATTTGATGCTTATCATGTTAGATCTTTTTTCTGATTAACTTTTCTTCAATCAGTACGCAGATGAGTATTTATAATGCATAAAAAATCTTTACAGTTATATTGTTACATATTTTTGTTTGTATTATTTAGAACATAAATAGATATTTCCAGGCTCTTTTGTTTATTATTTGAAATAAAATAAAATTAAATACAAGTCAGTTTCTTAACTCTGTAACTTTTAATTTCATTTTGAAAATGTTCATGTGTTGAGGTGTATAATAGAATACCATAGAAACAAAATGGAGATTTGAAGATAATGAATTCATAAGTAGGTATTTTTGCAGCGAGAGCTTAAGATCAGTTACTGTTGTCCTTATAAAATTCTGATGCAGCCACTCAGCTGTTAAAAACCTAATCCTCTATTTAAAAAATATATACAAAAACAAATTGTCTGTCTTTCTGCCTGATATCTTTTCAAGTACTAACAAGTGGAAACAGTGGGTGATCTGTCAGTGTGTTTGCTTTGTCAATGATGGTTTTGTATAAATATTGGGAGGGTAAGAAATAAAATTCACACAGTAAAATATGATTTCATCTGCCTTTTCTCTGCAGTTCTGTGGTTCATGCCGCGGTGTGAAATTCTCATTTTACACACTTTGCAGGCGAAGCACATGAATTATGCATTGAGCAAGAAAAATCTCCTGCCTCAAGTCTTATATGCATTTACCCAGGTTCTGTCTCTATTACCAAGATGAATTGCAAATGGAGAAATGTCTGATGGAATAGAGCTCTTAACTTCTTTGTTTAGAATTCAGATTTTTATTTTTATAGTAGAGCCCTTAAGTATGAAAATGTTTTGAACTTACTATGGATTTTTTTAAAATGAAAAATAATATAGGAGAGGAATGCCAGGCACATCATGAAGCATTTTATAGCCTTGATTCAGAATGCAAGGCTTTTTCAATTCGGTAGAAATGACCATTATCTATTGCTAATGTTGTATTTCAGTCACTAGTTATTTGTTCTTCTCAAAAAGTCAATGAAATTCTGTCCTTTTGAAAGCCTTTCTTCTCTCAGTTCTAGGTTTCTAATAAATGATTATGCCAATTTCACATGCAGCTCTCTTCTGTGTTGTATGTGACCTGGTGTGTATTTAATAGACACTGTTACACATTCTTGGCTGTGAAGTAGAAAATAAGGTATAGACTCGCCTTCAGCTCTAACTTCATCTTATTTGATAGGTTTCTAATTTTTCAGGTGGGGAGCTTATAGTTCCATGAAGACAGTCATGCACCATTGTAGCTGATAGGAAGCTATACCAGTGTGCTCAGCACAGCGTTTTGATATGCCACACGCTGACAACCTTTTGGCTGTATGTTCTTTATTCACAGGAATGAATGTCTCATTGAAATGGCATTTTCATTCTGGACCTCCTTTTATTAACTTGCAACTTTAAATTTTTAGCCTCATAACTAACATTTCTTCTATTTTTTTCCCCAGCCCCTAGGAATAATATAGACAGTATTGAATACTCATCGATTTTAAAGAACAAATGAAAATTACAACCCATCTAGGTGGTTTTGAGTTTTTGGTGGTAGGGAGAAACATAAACAATGCTGATTTTTTAAAAAACTATTTAATTTATTATTTATTTTATATGTATGCTTGTATTGCTTGCGTGTAGGCTTAAGTGCACCCATGTCGTGCAATGCCTGTGGAAGACAGAAGAGGCTTTCAGATCTCCTAGAACCGGAGTTATGAACAGTTATTAGCTGCCATGTGGGTGCTCGGATTTGAACCTGGATCTTCTGCAAGAACAACCAGTGTTCTTAACCACTGAGCCATCTCTCCAGCCCCAACAATGCTGATTTTTTTAAAAAAAATTATAGTCTTTTTAGCTTTAAAATGTATTCTTATAGAACCTTTAACTAAATGTCTGAATATTGACATAAAAAACAAGCAGAATTTAAATCATGTGAAAATGTTACTTCCAAGATACTTTTATATGTGTGTGTGTGTATTTGTGTGTATTTGTGTGCATCTGTGTATGAGTACATGTGTGTGGGTACCTATAGAGGCCAGAAGAGGGCATCGAGTCCCATGGAACTGGAGTTACGGGCAGTAGTGAGCCACCCTGCATTTGTGCTGAGAACCAGACTTGGGTCCTCTGCAAGAGCAGTAGGCTCTTAACTGCTGAGCCATCTCTCCAGCCCCTCTGTGCTGGATAGCTTTAGTGTCAACTTGACACACCTGGGTTGAGGGAGCCTCACTTGGGGAATTGCCTCTATTGGACTGGCCTGTGGCCATGTCTAAGGGGCATCTTCGTGATGAGTGATGTGGAAGGCCCAGCCCACTGTGGGTGGTGCCATCCCTGGGCAGGTGGGCCTGAGTAGCATAAGAAAGCAGGCTGAGCAAGGGCCAGCGGAGCAAGCCAGTAAGCAGCGTTCCTCCATGGCCTGTACTCCAGCTCCTGCCTCCAGGTTCCTGCCCTGAGTTCCTACCTTGGGCTCCCTGATGAACTGTGACCCAGGAGATGTAAGATAAATAAACCCTTTCCTCCCCAAGTTGGTAGTGGTCAGAGTGTTTTGTCACAGCAATGAAGAAACAAACTAAGACACCCTCCATAGACTTTTATGTGATGCTCTTGTTCATGTATGTGCACTGGTGTAAGAGCTTCAGCACTCAAATGGCAGTAATTGACCTTTTTTTTCCAATGGTAACAATAAGCTTTAAACTCCCTTGGTAGTTAAGTTATTTGAAGGTGAGGACTATGCTTGTCTATGTAATCACTTCCATTGCTCCACACAGAATCTGATGTACATTTAAAATTCTATATGTATATATAGATGAATAAACAGAAAGATTTTGGTAAAAACTTAAATTCTCATGTTGAACTTGAGATTTCATTTTAAATAAAAGTGCATAAAGACAAATCAACTTTAATGTATATATATCCTTTTAACACACTATTCTTAGTTTATCTTAAAATGTTTTCCATGCTACTTAATATTGTACATAATTTTGGGGGGAATGTATGTGGATGTGGTTGTACATTTACCTGCACATGTATGTAGAGGCCAGAGATCGATGTTGGATATTTTTCTCAATTACTTTTTCCACCTCCTTTTTTGAGACAGGGTTTCTCACTAATCCTAATTAAGTTAGAGTACCTGGCCAGCAAGCTCCAAGGATCCTTCTGTTTCCACCTCCCCATAGGCACGCACACCCATATTTTACGTGGATGCTGGCGATTCAAACTCAGGTCCCAATGCTTATGCAACAAATACTTTATACACTGAGACACTGTCAGACCAATTATACTATTTTTTTTTGTTTGGTTGGTTTTTTTTTTGAAACAGAATTTCCGTGTAGCTCCAGCTGATCTGGAACTTGCTATGTAGACCACGCAAGCCTCGGTCACACAGAGCTCTGCCTGCCTCTGCCTCCTGAGTGCTGGGATTAAAAACATGCACCACCATGCCAATTTTATATCCATGCATATATATACATATGCATATATATGTATATATTTAAAAATGGATAAACTTGGGCTTAAGGTCATCATATTCTTCCCTATGATAATGCATGTTTCATAAACAGAGATATAAGCTAGTTCATCATAAGAGAAGTCCTAATTTTAGGTATGTATGTTTTAAAATAGTCTCTCTAGTAGTAAAAAAAAAAAAGTAAATGAATTATTTTCTGTACTAAAGAGCAAGAGCCTGTGTATGGTATCTTTGGTAAATGAGCCTGACACAAGCTAGTATTGGAATTCAGAGTATCTGGAACAGAGTCTGTCACAGGCTTAACTTAGAGGAGTCCAGCCTATCACAAGCCTGTCCACAAGGTCATGTTCCTTTTTCTTAAGTAAACTTGTTTAACAATTATTCCCAAAAAAGTCTAGCAAAAAGTTGTCAGGTTGTAAAATAATTATTTAAATTTTCTTCTGAAAATGTTTTTAGAAAATTTTTTGCAGTCATTAAATAAAATATTTTAAAATAATTCAATTTGTATAATGAAGAAATAGTGAGCTACCACAGAAAAATTTTTAAATATTTCTTTTTACTTTTTGTGTGTATGAGTATTTTGTCTGTGTGTACCATGTACCTTCAGTGCTCACAGGGACCACAAGAGGGTATCGGAGTCCCTGGAACTGGAGTTTCAGATGGCTGTTAGCTGTTTCTGGGTGCTGGGAACTGAACCTAGATCCTCTGTAAGAGCAGCTGGTGTTCTTAACCACTGAGCCATCTCTCCAACCTTATAACACAGAATTTTCGATTCAGGAAAGCATTTCATATACTACACAGAAGTTTAAATTGTATTTTTAATTTTTGTATACTTTCTTTTAAGTCTAAGACAAAGAAAAATGTTTTGTAATACTTCATGTTTTTTCTTTAAACAAAATACAAAGTGAGGTATTTGTTATTTTATAGGTGAAAGAAAGAAAACCCCAGCAAGACAGAAATCCTCATACCAAAGATGTTTGTCTTCTAGATCTAGACGATTGTAAGTACCAGAATCTTAAGGTTTTTTTCTTATGTACTTAGAGCTATTTTATATTCTTATAGTACTTTTCCCAAAATTCATTTTTCCCCAAATTGAGATTTCCCAAAATTTATCAATATCTATTCTAAAAGATTGATCCGCAAATAAGGAAAGGTCTTTTGTTTGGTTGGGGTTTTTTGGCAAATTGGTAGTATTTGTATCATTCTTCAGTTCAACAGTTTTGTGTCACATGGATAGAATGCCAAATAAAGGGTGTCAGACTCATCCTACTAATCATTTATCCTTGTGTTACCAAATAATAACCCACAGTTCACAGCTTCTGCATTATGAAGGACTGAGTGTGGTGAGTGACAAGATAACAAAGGTGTTAAAGAAGGTGAGAAGGACGTTATTATCTGGCACTTGTCACAGGGGTTACAAGCTGTGGTATGCCAGTGTGGCTGTACCTATCAATGTTTTAACTGCAAAAAATGTCATTCTAGCAAATATACTTCTATGAATTCAGATACTTGCATATGTACTTACTTAAGTATACATATTGACCACCCTTAAATATGCATCATTGTGGGCAGGACACAGTAGAGCTGTGTTACTAGATAGATTTTGTACTAGGAGAAGAGCAGGAAATAAGATGTTATGAATATTAAACTGCTCTCATTCATTTCTTTTTTTTCTTTCTTTCTTTCTTTTTTTTTTTTTTTTTTTTTTTTTTTTTGAAACTTCACTGAGAATTTCATATATGCATATAAGGTAAGGTGTTTTGATCAAATCCATGCCCACTCCCTCCCCTCCAACATTCCCCCCTCTGAAGAGGTAACCCTAAAATCTTTTAAGG